CCAATCAGATAGCTGTATGCAAAAACACCAGCTAGACAGTGGCCTATTACTGACTAAATTTCATTGGCTGACGCTGCTATGACGATCACTTCAGCCCCAACTTCAGACACGCCTTCAGTCAAGCACTGACGCTGAAACCCCGTGTGAATGGGGCGTCACACATCGAATGACAACATTACAGAGGTTTTCAAAACCATGTTTCCTGACTCAAGTTATTGTGGAAGCAACAAAACTGCATATATTACTAAATTCTGCTCCTTTTATAACTAAAGAACTGACTGACCAGGTCAATAAGGCCAACGGGTTTGTGATCATGTAAGAATCTCAATAAGATGACGAAAAGTAAGCAGTTGGACCTTTATTTTCGCTACTGGTGGACTACGATAACTATAATAATATGTTTTATTTAATTCAAGTAGCCCACTTATATATAATTATTTTCTAGAGTTCAAAATTCATACAGATTTGACATTTTCCCCTCATACTCCTGTCGGAATTGGTTTGAAGTTGGCATTGAATTTCCTTGGAAATGGTATTGAAAAGGTCTCAAAGAGCCTTGAATTTCATTTGGAGGATCCCGGGGGTTCCCTGTGGTGACACAGCTTCTACAGAGCAACAGAATGACAGAGACAGGACAGAAGACAGATAATAGAAGTAAGTAGCGAATGCAAATATACGAATTGACGAGTGTATGTGCGGGTTTATTACTATATACAACGTTATATGTGCAGCTGTTAAGTGCAAATTGGCATGTAAAGTGTAAATGTGTATAAAAGTGTACGGCAAGTAGTGATGTTGGTTCCACAATTACCATCATCAAGCGTTCATGAGATGGATTGCCTGAGGGAAGACACTGTGTTTCTGTGTCGGGCTGTTCTGGTGCGCAGTGTAGCGTCGACCAGAAGGTAACAATTCAAAGAGGCAGTGTGCTGGGTGTGAGGAGTCCAGAGTGATTCTGGCAGCCCTTTTACTCGCTCTGGATAAGTACAGTTCTTGAAGAGTAGGGAGGGTTGTACCAATGATTCGCTTAGCAGTCCGAACTATTCAACGTAGTTTTCGCAGGTCGGATTTGGTGACGTGTAGACAACTGATTCAATAATGGAGGTGTGGAACTGTTTTAGTAGCTCCTTTGGGAAGTTGAGCAAAAGGTGCGATTGAGGCGAATGTGTTGTGAGTTCCACGTCATTTGGGGTGTCGGTGGAATTTCGCATATATTGTATTGACTTTGTAGTCTACTCAAGTAAATAAATTTGCTTCTGGTGTGTATTTTTATACATGCGCTGTATATAAACCATAACTTTTAATATAAACAAAAATACACTTGATGAATTTTTCGTATAAGAATGTGACATCTTTAAATGTAATAAACAATTATTTTGTGATTTTCACTTTTTTTACCTCCTTTTTTTTTTTGTCCGGATCTGAACAAAATACCATTTACAAAAACAATCGTTTGAATAAATCTGTTCTATGATGGGTATTTCTCTATTTAAGGTGTATATTTTTATGTATAAAGCTGAAAAATATTTTAGGTGGTACAACAGAAGCCAAAATACTTAACAAAAAAATATTAAATTCTTCAAAAGACACAAATAATTTTAATCAAATGCCCCTACCTCAAAATAATCGATCATGTGGAGGATACAAACATATAAAGTTAAGAATGAAACTATAAAGTAAATCATGAAATCTGTTTAAAAATGTATATTTTACCCTACAAACGACTGATAAATCGTGAATAATTTTTAAAGCTACTGGAAAAGTCTGTAGAGTTGACAACCCCTGCGCTACAATAGGGACTGTCTGCTTAGAACTGAAGGATGAGTCTCGGTTTCTGCATCAGAGATATGATCGCCGTAGATGATGCTGCCTCTGCAGTCCACCTGGGGTCAATGGTGCTCTGACAGTGCTGCTGTACGGAGACTGATGGTATTCATAAGACCAATAACCACCAATTGAATTCCACTGTCATGATAACCATAACCATACAGAGGCTTGACATTACGTTTATTTAATTCCACTATGAATGTCCAGATCACTACAGCAGTGGTTTCCATGCTTGATCCAAAACATTGAGGAATTATCTTCCTCGTTTAGAACAAAATTTATTTAGTCCATTTTAGCATTGCTAAACATGTCATTTGTTATACGAACTGTACCAAACTGAAGTGTTAAAGTGTTCGTTTATTTGCATTTTTTGCGATTTAAAAATGGTTTGCACTTAAGAGGTTTTAAATTGGTAAGTTTTCGAACGGTTTCATAATAGTTACCGATTTAAAATTTGCACTAAAATATCTGACAGGGGTTTGTTTTTTGTTCGTTTTCACATCCTTTTCAAATAAACTTAATTCATTGTTGACTTTATTTTAGCTTCACTTTCGCTAAATATTTTTAAATGCAATGCTACTGCTTTCGTCGTCGTTTGAGAACATTTCGTTTGCGCTTCGCAAATTTACATTTACACATTTTCAGTCATGTGAACTTTTTGTTTGTTTGTTTGCTGTAATGACAGCTACACTGCGATCTCCACTGAAACACAGCACGATCTGTTTATATTTCCGTCTGTTTCAAGCTACAAATATTAGGATCACATTTCAACAAAACAAAACCGAGAAATAATCACAAACTTTAAATTACAGGCATTCGCCATCCATATTGTGCAACTTGCAGTCATTTACAACCATCATGTCCCTGCCAGAGCTACAATTCAGCCGACTTTACATTTATCTTGTGGATATTCCTCAGTGATTCAGTCATTGGTGATGACATTGCAGCGTCTGCTCAATATTTTCTGGCGTTTTACTGCTGTTTATGCTTTGACTTTTGCTTTACACGGCACAAAATGCTTTTCTTACTTAGATTTGTTGTCTTCTTTTTAGTCCAAATATTAAAATATTCTTATATTAGGAAGAATTTTCTAGGCAAGCAAAACATACTTGTTTTCATCTAGTTTTTCCTTTTGACATTGTAATTATTTTGCTTACTCCATTGGCAGATTATTTAGCTTGTTTTAAGGAAAAACTCACTTAATTTTGGCATAGTATTTCTTAAAACAAGCCAGTATGTTTTGCGCAACACAATCTTACTGCAATTCGTAACTTTTTGATTTAGTGGCAAATTCTAATGAATTCGTACAATCTCATTCGTACAATTTAGTACGATTTGCTCATCACCCAATGACGGTTGGGTTTAGGGGTGGGGTTAGGTGCCACGCCTCCTTTTTAAAATCGTACATTTTCGTACGACTGAACTCGTATAAATTCATATGAGTTAGCCACTACACCCAATGACGATTGGGTTTAGGGGTGGGGTTAGGTGCCACGCCTCCTTTTTAAAATCTTAAATTTTCGTACGACTGAATTCGTATAAATTCATATGAGTTAGCCACTACACCCAATGACGATTGGGTTTAGGGGTGGGGTTAGGTGCCACGCCTCCTTTTTAAAATCTTACATTTTCGTATGACTGAACTCGTATAAATTCGTATGAGTTAGCCACTACACCCAAAGACGGTTGGGTTTAGGGTGGGGTTAGGTGCCACGCCTCCTTTTTAAAATCGTACAATTTCGTACGACTGAACTCGTATGAATTAGTCACTAAATTGACAAAACGTAAAATACTTACGTTTCCTCGTGAGATCAGGCTGGTTTTGCGTGCCTAGAAAATTCTTGATTTAAGAATTTTTTTTAGATATTTGGACTAGAAACATGGCAAAAAAATCTACGTAAGAAAATACTTTTTTGCAGTGTTTGCTTTGCACTTAACCTGCAAATTAAAATTTGAACTGTTTAAATAGCATACGAAAACACAAA